TGGTTAGTTGTTAGATACCTTTTCTCCTGACTCAAAATTGTAGAGGTCTGGGGGTGTGGCTCAGTGGCAGAGCCCTTCCCTAGCATGTGGGAAACCCTGGATTCCATCCTCAATACTACCAAAAAAAAAAAAAATTGCAGAAGAACACAAAAACCACATTACCCACAGAAAGAGTCAATCCACAAGCACAACCTTTGCTGGTAACACTCCTCTTTATAACTTTTCCGTGTCTGCAGAGTGCATGTGGAATTGCAGTTTGGGTAATATTCTTCACACTGTTTTGTGCATTTAGTTGAATGTTTTGTTAACTTCCAGCTTTTATCTCACCCGCTTGTGGTTAGGCCCCCCAGAACCGGGCCTGACTGACAGGCTTCCCTTTCCATGAACAGGGCTGAAGTTCCCTCTCCCATCTCTGCTCTCTGCCAAGACTGAGATGGAGAGCACTACTTTTTACTTAATTGTCTGTCAACACTGCCTCAGTGTTTCCAGATTCCTGGGACCCGGATGTAATGGGAGTTCACAGGAATCTCAGGATCCACTCTGGCAGTCTCAGCCTCAGGGAGTTAAGGTTAGGGAAGGAGCTGAAAACCATCAACCTGCACCCACAGCCCCATCTCTGTAACAGAGATTCCCCCACCCCTAGCTGGTGGCTTCTGAGAATTGTGTCATCTGAGCAACTTATAGGTGGACCTTGGAGGGGTGACATGTACAGTAGTTGATCTGCCTCAAATCGTAGTTGGCCCTCCTCATTCTTACTTAAAATGCACACCCCAGCCCACCCCCTCCTCAGAAAGCAAGGGACCCTGATGTTCCTCTTCACCTTTACCAATCTATTCACCTGAGGCATTAAAGCTTTCTGTGTTCCCAGCCACTGGCTGAGGACTTCAGCCTGTATGAACCACGCCATCTGCCACCACCCTGACAATGACCTGCATCTGCCTGAAAGGCTCACACAGCTGTGATCCCATCAGCCGGAATGGCCCACCAGACATCTTTCTGGGTTTACCATGTCTCCTTAGACACTATGATCAGGCCACTCCTTGACAGAAAGTCCCCAGCTGGATGGCTTTCTTTGACCCCAAAGTGCAACTCCTATTTCCTTGCTCGCCCGTGATGCCTGTCTACACAGGGCACACAGTGGCTCTGGGCAAAAGCCCACTCATCATAAAAATGGTTGAAATAGCTTTTCAAAAAATATAAAGATTGCTGGACCAATTGAACCACTACCTATTCAAGCAGGGGTGGTGTTAATTTTGTGATTTGGATGATAGACGGAATGAACAGAGGATGGTGGCAAATGAAGAATGATGACGTGACACCAAATTTTATCTCAGTCATGCCTGTGGAGCTGTGTCTTCATCTGTAACATGCAGAGAGGAATAGGACACCCCCCTCGCAGGGGCATGACCATCCCATGATAAAGGGGTGTAATGGGCTGCGAATTATACCTGGAACACAGGGAGCATTCACTGAATGTTTGTCACAGCACTGTGGTGTGGGATTGGAAATGAAAAAGGACCTGAGGTTGAATACCAGCTATGCCCATTACTTCCTGGACAACTTTGGGACATTGTTCGACCTTCGTATTTCATTTACAAATGGGCAGCAGTAATGAGCCTGGCATTGAAAAAGCAACAGCCGTTCTCCCAACCTCTCTCACCTAATGCTGCTTTTCCCAGGTACAGAGGATTGGATGATATTTTTTTAAGAACCATTTCATGCTGTAGTTTGACCTGTCTCCCACCTCTGTGTGGATGGGTAATAATGGTTCAAGGGCCTCTGATGGGCTCAAAGGCCAATACCGCATAGCATCCCAATGAGCACAGGTACCATCGAGTGTGTTTTGAAATAAGAACTGAATGCAAATGAGACTTAGTCTAATCTATATATTTTTGCAACTATATTTATCCTATTCTCATAAAATAGGTTGTCAGGCTTAATTTTGCCAAAGCTCTTGTTATTTTGGTCTTCAGAGAAGTAATTTAACTAAAGGTGTACAGTGAAATTAAAAAGGGGATAGTCTAGATTATCCCTGAGAGGCTGGGGTCTAATTTTGGCTGAATGCTTAGAAGTTAAATCAGTTAATTAAGCTTAGTTATTTCAAGACTCTGAGTAGGTTCTATGCTATCTAAATCAGATGAATGTAAATTCATTTGTCATCCACTGAGATTGCAAAACATGGGCTCAAACATTTTGTGTCTTTCTGGAGATAAGAGGAATATGTATGCTTAAAACAAAAAGAAAGTTGGCAAAAGTGAGTTCAGGGGAGTTTCAAGAAAACAGGACTTTGCAGATTATCATCCTTCGAGTCCTCTATAAATAAGTATGACCTGACTTCTAAAGTGGACTGCTGCTTTCCTGTTAACAGAATACTCTGCCTCTTATACATTCTAAATCAGAGTAACATTTTGTTGGCCTGTTGCCAGAAGTCTTCCATAATTACTGCCCTGTCTCTAGCTTTGTTTCCCTCTTTATTTGGCCAGCTATATAATTATTATGGCAGTCTCTGGAATCAGGAATTATATTTTGAGTATTAAACCTTTTGAACTGTGTTCATGGGGGTTTGGAGGACCCTGTCATCTGCACTTGGATATTTGAAGCTCCTTCCTAAATGAATGTCGCATGCAATTAATTTGCTATAGAATGAATTTGAAGTTCGAATGAAAGCCAGTTCCTTGGTTGTTTTCAGATTGAGTGAATCATTGAGCCTGATATGAGAGAAACTCCAGGGCGTTCAACCTCATTTGTGGCTTCCCAGTTCATTTAGTGAACAAGATATTTACATGATCAGACACTTTCATGATTGATTACTGTAATGTTTATTTTATTTTAACATTAACGGTGCTACTTCATGTTGCATTATTGAGAGATACGTATTTAATTATCTCAAGTGATCTGAGCCCAACATGTAGGCATATTGGGGATCCTAATTGTACATGAGGCAAATGTGATTTGGACATTTCTACGTTTTAGCAATAAAATCATGCAGTAAACACTGCTTGAGTAACTACTGTGTGCTGTGACCGGACTGATACGTGCCTACCTACAAGTGACTGACTCATTAGATTCTATGAGGACACCAATAGTGAAAGGTGAACCCACTCCCATCAGCACACCCTGAATGGGAGAATGTCTATTACAGAGAGACGAGGGAGAGAAAGGACTCCCTCTTCCCGAGAAGTGTTGTTGACAAGTTCTCTTGTAGGGAGTGTTGATGTCTGGGTGGAATTTGCTCTGGAAGTTCCAGGTGTGTCAATATTATTCCTGAGGACATGCTGGGATCTTTTTTATTTTTTATTTGTTTTAATTAGCTATACATGACAGTAGAATGCACTTATATACTTTGATATATCATACATAGATGGGATAGAATTTCTCATTTTTCTGATTATATATATTGTAGAATCACATTGGTCATACAGTCACATACATACATACAGTAATAATGTCTGTTTCATTCTACCCTCTTTCTTATCTCCACATCCCCTGCCTTCTCCTCCTTTCACTTCCTTCTACCTAATCTAAGGTAAAGCTATTCTTTTATTTTTATTTATTTATTTTTTTGCATTACAATTCTTAATATACATATATACCAAAATTTTTATATCTCTGTTTGTAAATAAAGTATGTCGACACCCAATTCAAATCTTCATACATGTACTTTGTATAATGAAGTCCATCATATTCCACCATCCTGGTGGAAGGGAAAGGGAGGGGGCAGGGGATTAGCAAGGATGTTGGGATCTTAAAAGAGAAAAATAATTGGTAAAAAGAGTCAGAATTGGGCTCAGGTTTTAACCAATGGTCACTTATTCACCAGCCTCAGTTTCTCTCCGTGTAGAGCAACTGAATCTCATGGCACACTCCGCTGCAGCCTTTCCTTCTGAGCTATACTCCTTGGGTAGGGATTCCCAAGAGAGGAAGAGTCTGAGAGGCCGCACTTGGATCAGGGGCCCTCCTTCACTGAGAGCAGGAGAGGCTCCCTCCCTAATTCCCACACTGCAAGCAATAGCAGAGGAAGAGGCCCCACAGAAAGGAAGCAGGGATGTCCAGACGCAAAGGGCTTGTGCTCTGCAGGATCCCGCTTCTAAAAACCATGAGGGACCAATGACTTTTCTTCTCTTTTTTCCTACCATTTGCATATTGAAACTTTAAAAAAAGATATGCAAAATACATATTTATTTTTGAATTATTAATTGCAGCATCCAATGGCTATAAAACTCTCCCAACACTTGCTGCCTATCACAGGCTCATGTTGTCACAGACCCTCTGTCCTCAGCAATGTCCTTTATGGCCACCCGCTTCCTTTGCTCCCTCCTGTGGAGCTCAGCACCTCCTTTTCTTTCTTCCACTAACCTTATAAAAATAGATGCTCTCCTAAGTTTCTGGCCTGGGGGTCAGGCTCTGTGCACCTCAAAAGGGTGAGTGCCATGTCTGGAAATGGAGTTGGGAGCTTTACTCTTACTTGGACGCCCACAAGACCACTGCAGGTGTACATTTTGAAGTTTCTGGAAGAAGCTAGTGTACTCACACTTCTAAGGGATTATGCATTTGACTTCCCTTTGAAAGTAGTCAAGTAGACTGTGATACTTAAAACAAGAAAGGCACCTGTCACTGACATGTAACATGAAGGGAAGAGCAACGGCTTTGCCTTCTCTTCTTCTTACTGTGTCCATTTCTTGCAGCCGGAGCTTAGAGAGCTATCAAGGGCAGAGCTGCAGAATGAAGAACTCAGTAGATACCTTTCTTTGGCAGTGATAGATACCTTAACTTCACTGAAGTCTTCATCAGTTACACAAGGAAGTTAAGCACCATGATCTATGCAGTCATTTCCAATTCAAAAATTCTATAACTTTTTTGTGTAACCAATTGACTTTTCCTTTCCCAGGGTTTTGATTATTTGTTAACCTCATTCTCTTGTTCTGTTCTAGCACCTGTGTTCTGATTAGTGGCCAAATAAGTGACATTTGGAACCTCAGCTAAAGTACAGTAAGGTAAGATCCTTTCCCTAGTTGAGTCTTTTGCTTGAGAAAAGGAATTCATAGTTTGATCTAAGAGAGCAGATTAACAAGAAAGAAAAATTGGTAAGTTGGTGTTCTTCAACACAATTTACCACTTCTACTGTGTATTTCTTAATATACAGTCATGCTCAATTTCTTGCATATTAATAAAACTGTTCATTCAAAATTGAAATAAATTGACTATTTCAAATGCCCTTTTGTATATTAACAGGAGCTATGTGGAGTGTTTTCAAATAATACAAATTGTTTGAATTATTAGCATATGGATTGGACATTATAACTTGTCTAAATCTTATACTCTTAAGAATTACCCCTTAATTTACATTGCTTCTGTTCAGACTGCTATCCACAATCTGATTGTGAAGATAAAGAACCAGCATTGTGAGTCAATGCAATCCTTCTTAAATGTTTATCATAATACTCTCTCTGTTCTGCAAATGCTATGGCTATGATACCCAAATCCAATTCTCCCCTTGATCCTTGGCAACAAAACCCTGCTGCTGTAAAGGTTAGCACAGGGTTCGGTTTAAAAACCCTTGTCTCCTCAGACTCCTTTACAGTGGCCATGAGACCCAGTTCCAGCCAATGAGCTAAGTGATGGGCCTGATGGGCCTTTGCAGTAGTTTGTCTTCCTGGGTTAAAACAGCAGAACCGAGAGAGGAGAATTGCTTGGAATCGTTTCCTTTGTTCCTATCCCATTGTCCTATCTGGAAACACAGCCCCCCTTTTGCAATCCCAGGAACAAAAGCCACAATCAGCAATGCTGGAGCAGGGAGATAAAATGAGCTCTGCCAAGCCTACCATCAGATTTCCTGTGGATGTGACAGGTACACGCCCTGGCTGGGTCTTGATGCACACAGCAGTATTATCAGATCCAGTGTTTCTATCCACATTTTATGCACAAAGAATAATTGATCTGAGATGTGAAGAACTTTTTCTTGTAGTGGTGTAGGTGAGGTCTGAACTTGAACCTGTCAGCTGCTTTTCCCTGCATGCTGCTGCCCCAGGGCCTAACTGAGGGTGGCCATCAGCCTGTGCTGTTGCTGACTGCATTTCACAGCCAGTCCATGGGCATCCTCAGCTTACTAACCCTTTGAATACCTTCCAGTAACATGGGACTTCCATTCCACTATCCATCTGCAAAATTAAGTGAACTGAGGTTATTTCCATAAAGAAAGAAAAGCCTCTGGCTAGGCAGAATCCAGTGCATTTGGATTGCCTATAAATGCAGGTGAAGGAAATATTAATTTTAATCTACAATTCTAACTAAGTAACCTCCTTCTAATGATCTCCAATATTTCAGTCATTCTTACTTTGTTCTGGGGAAAAAATAATGCAGGTAAAAGATAAGTTATATAATGAAATTTCTTTCCAAAGAGTCATGCCAGGCATTGAGGTAGGCACTGAGCTAAACTGGGGGAGGAGAGAGATGCTGAAGGATGGAAAAAAACCCTTGGGCTGGAAAATAAGAGACTGAAAATGCAGGTGATAGCTCAGCTCTTCTGTGGCATTAAAAAATATATATCACCTTTCTGTACCTTTGCTCTTTATTTGTAAATTGAGGGTGTAAGATAGTCTGATTTGCCGTTAGCACAAAATAATAGCTTACCTCCTTGACTCTCCTTTGAAAATGTAGGAAGTACTCTGACATCTGTTAAACCCATAATTTTTCCTTTTAATCATTGAACCTAGGAGTTATCAGCTCTTTCCTTTTCCCTCACTTTCTTCCTAATACATCCTGAGTCATGTGTCTCTTTGTCTCCTTTGTCCTGCCCATACTTCACATCTTCCTCCTGTCTTGCCTGGACAATGACATAGTGGTCACCTGGCTTCCATTCTGGCCACACTAAGAGGTGGTCCTCTTGGGGAACTCTATCAGATCTTGTTCCCTGTTTGAGACATGCTGAAAAACTTCAGTTCCTTCCCATGCATCTGGAATAAACCCAAATGCTTTACCATCACTTAACAAATCTGATAGGATCTGGTTTCTCTTTGTACCTGCTCCCCCTTACTAAATTGCTGAATTCCAGCATCCCTGCCTCTCCCTCCCCTTGAATGCTTCTCTTTGATCTTTCCCCTTGGATTCTGGCATGCTATTTTCTCTCTCTCTCTCTCTCTCTCTCTCTTTCTCCTTGGACCCTGGTTTGCTGTGCTCTGTCCTTGGCACTTGCCACCATGGGCCCTTCCATGTAGTTCTCTCTCCCTAGACCTCCCCCAACTGCTCTCTCTGAGCCCTGTCCCAGGGACCCAGTGTAATTCCCTTTAAAAAGTGAACGTTTTATTTTTAAGACATATTAAAATAGTCTCTTGTCAACAAAATACCTGCACATGTAGTGTAAAGGATTCAGGAAAAACATGACCTGATCTAAGCTCCACAAGGGTAGGACCTCAGAGGTTTTTTAACACTGCCCAAACCACGCTGCAAGAGTCTTGTTAAATATTTGTGGAATGAATGGATTGAAAGTCAGAAAATGCCATAAGTTAAATAGTCCAAAGAAATTAAGCCCTGCTCCTAGATGCCCCTGACAAGTGTGTGATTTAAATGGGAAAGGGAAAAAAAATAAAGAAAAAAACAGTTGAAAGGACAGAAGGACAGGCAGTGGTACAGATAACAAATAGATAGCAGTAAATCCTTGGGAGGGGCACTTCCGGGATCTCTGTTCCACTTTAGCCATTTCTGCTGGATGCTCATGGGTGACAGTATCTATGTATCTTACAGACATTTATTAGCTAAATATGGCACATTGCAATCAGGAATTTTGTTAAACAAAAGCCTAAAATCTGAAATAATGAATTATTGGACCTCTAAGAGCAAAATTTTGTCTCTTCTGCGTGCATGCTCAGATTCCCTTGATGCAGGGATTTCGTGCATGTTAAGCCGATGTTCCAGATGCAGTGAGTGTGGAAATGTCTGTGGAGCTGAGTGCAGCTCATGTGCAGGGCCTCTCCCTCCAACTCTGCAGAGTCTACTTCAGCTTCAAGTCAATCTTCCCAGTGCTGGTACAGGGTGGCACATGGTGCACACATATTCAAAAGGCTGATGGGAAAATGCAAACCAGAAACATGTCTTATCTGTCAATTAAGTGATGTAGCCTCATGGTTAGATTATAGCAATTTGGGGGCTTTTTTGTTTTCTGCCAATTGAGATTTGACAGCTGTTTATAAAATATTTACATTCTGATTTCAGTCACATTGACAGCACGTTTGGGTCTTCGGAAGATGATAATTACACGTTAGGAAAAATGTTAAAAAATTTGAAGCTGATTTATTGAGGAGAAAAATCTGTTCTTAAAATTGAACAAAGGAAGGGCATCCACTCTTTTAAAGGATACACTCAAAATAAAAGTCAGAAATAGTAGATATGAATGATCCAGAAACATTCCCCTTGCAACATGTGAAGGAGCAGCTTTCCATACCCACCTGTCCCAGGCATCCTACTGTCCCTGGTCAGCTCTGTCCAGTTAGATCTGTGCTTCTTGCTTTTTTTCACTTTCCTATGCAAATAAAAGTGGCAGCATTCGTATGATACATGGGTAAATTGAATAGCATTTTAGTATATCTAGATGGAGTTTATGAAAAAAAATTACAATATATATTCTTGGTTTTAAACATAAAATTAAAAAAAAATTGAGACGAACACAAAGTATTGAACTTATATAGAATTTAAAAATGCAATACTTCCAGTTGCTTCAAGGACAAGCATAAATTAACATAAACTTCTTTTTAATCAGATATTGTATGAGAAAGGGTGACCTGTAACTCTTGGTCAGTGGTTTTATCCAAGTCTTGATAGTCACCAACTGTGACTACTTGCTCAACTATGTAAGAACAAATATATAATAGAGAATGCAAATATATTTTTAATATTTTTATTAGTACATTATAGTTATACACAATAGCGCGGCTTCCTTTGACATATTCGCACATGTGTGGAATATAATTTGCTCTGTTTCAATCCCCAGTACCTTCACTTTGCCTCCCCTCCTTCTCCACGGCTGCCCTTCCTCCACTCTGCTGGTTAAAGATCTCTTTTAGAGTCATTCAGAAGCTTCCTGTAATTGATCCTATGTTTACAGAATCTAACAGCTATTACTTTCTTTCATTGACAAATGCACTGTGGAGACTTCTGGGATTATGTGAGTGACTTTAGAATCTAATCTAACATTTTAGCTAAAGTATTATTTTTTAAAATTTAGGAGAATGCATATTCTTTTATAGTCATCCTTCAGCACATAGTTTGGACCTCATTAAAAGGTTGTATCAGCTGCAAGTGAACTGAAGTGGTCTTGGCCCTGATGTCTATGTGAACAGGGAGCAAACGTATGATTGGAAGAGGCCATGTGTCCACCCCTACCCAACCACCCTGCTCACCCTGCTTTGTCCCAGCATCCTCATCCTTGGAGTGTATATTCCAACAGTCAACCCAAAAATCCTAATACCCTCTCTCCTTAGCGTTATGCCTGTGCCCTGGCCACCAGGTGTATAAAGGGGACTATGTCTTGTGAAAAGACCACTCTATTCCCTAGCTGTGAGTGGAAGCTGAGTTTTTGAGCAGGGAATTCCAGGGACTTGGGTATCTGAAGTCTGGTTGAGAAGTCCAGCTCCTTGTAGAAGAAGCTAAGTTCCCTGGAGAGAGTCATGGCCAGAGGAAGGCCAAGGTGGGCCCTCTGACTCGGTGATGTTCAGGCATGAATGTGTCTGCAGTCGCCTGTTGAATCATAGATGCCGACCGGGAAGAGCCGAGAATGGCTTGAGCTTTCATGTTTCACCAGATGAAGCTGAAACTGATGCTGATGGTGAATAAGGGATCTGAAATGCAGAAGCTGAGGCAAGGCCCCTGAGGCCTGGGTCTCAGGACACTTTTGGACAGAAGTATCTGCTTCCAGGGACATCAGAGTAGTACCCATACTCTGGGCAGCGGATCTCACCAGGCCCCCCAACCTGGACTTCCACTTCTCACTCTAGATTCTGCA